CTGATACACCCCTCTTTTATCCTCACATCTTCCCAACACCGTCTGATGCCATCCGTTGGATCTAAATAGATCTAATAGTCTAGATTTGTTACTGTTGAACTATGCTTTGAATTTTGATATACCAAAAATGAATATTTTAAAAAAATTAAGAGATTTTAAACTCTGCAATACCGATACTGTAAGAACAATACCGATACTGCAAGAACAATACTGATATTGTTCATGCAGTATTGATACCAGTATTGATACTATTATGCTAAAATAGGCAGTAGTATCGATACTTGGGATAGGAGTATTGATACTCCCTTTATGGTTTTGATAAAAACGAATTTCCTAAGTCATTTTTGGTATCGATACTGTGGAAGTATCGATAAAGATATCGATACTCAGGCTAGAGTACTGATACTCCCCTCTTTTAACGGTCAAATTTTGTGCATTTAATGCAGGCAGTATAGATACTCAAGGTGTTTGGGCAACATTTATTACGAGAGTTTTCATCCCAACGACTCTATTAACTCCCATAACAACCCAAATGGCTAGAATTGAATGAGGAGATATAAAAAAGATTCCAAGCCATATGTGAGGACAATGGATAAAAAAATCCAAAGCAATCACATTAAGCCAAAATCAAAGTCAACATTCTTGAATATTCTTTTTGCTTTTAAAAACACTTTTGTACTCATTTGTTTTATTGGTTAAGTATTCTTATTTATTCTTGAATTGTGCAAACAATTTCCTTGTGAGATTTTTCTAAGTTTGTAAATTTATAATTTTCTTTTTAAGAGAGTATTTAAAGAATTTGGGGTATAATTCTTGAAGGAGTTGTAAGATTACACTTTGTCCTCAAAGGTTGATACATATTAGTGAGTTTGCAAAAATCCTTAGTGTGGATAACTAAGGTAGTACATGTAGATTTAGTTTATAAAGTCGAACCATTCTAAAATTCTTGTGTTTAATTTTTTATATTTTTCTTTTAAATTTCCACCAAATTTTTAATTATCAATTTACTCTCCTTCTGGGATATTTCATCCTCTTGATTGGTTCAAGAGTTACAAATTAGGGTGTTGAAACCCTAATAAGGATGCTACTTAAAGTTTGGGAATGATTCTAGTCCACGCCAGCAGCCACGATGATCACCAGATCTCCACATCATTGGCCATCTCAACCACGGCGTGCTCCACGTCGGCAAGGACCACACGAGCTAGTCCCCCTCTAATCTGTCACAATCGCTCTCATGCTCATGGTCCCCTCTCTGCCATACAGTTACTGCCATACACCAAAGGAGCATGATTTCTGGCAGAGGGTGCTCCTTCACTTGACAGGGGGAGATCTGGCAGCATTTTGGTTCGTGCATGTGCATAAAACAGAGGGAATCATCAGCAAGAGCAAAAAAAATATTGGGGAAAAACACAGAAACCACAGCAATAGAAAACCAAAAAAAAAGATAGCCATACATAATCAAAACTATTCAAAATCAGAAACCAAAGAACAAAAAAAATGGAGAGAAAAGGAAACTATAGTAAAAAATCGAGTCATTCGAATGAAAAAGAGAGAGAAATCAAGCGAGGGAAAAACGAAAAAAACATTTGTTTTCTTGCGAAAGGCACAGTCGTCGCTCATCGGGGGTGAAAAACCTTTTCACCCATGCGAATATACTCATTTTCGTCTTCTAGATCTGGGTTAAGGTTACATTTTGGAGGGTTTCGAAGGCTTCTTGGGTTGGTTTAGGGTTAGAACTGAGTTTTTTTTATTCTAATGTCGTAAAGGATCTTTTTGGGGTGGTTATTGTCGGTATGGCCATCGTGAATCGGTAGTCGGAGACTAGTTGATGTTTCACATTCACGATGGAGGAAGCGAATGTATGAGAGCAAAAGGGAGCTTTTGGAAGAAAGGTCATTTGCGGTTGAGTTGAAACAAAATGGGGAATTAGGGTTTGCTTAGCCTTAAGAAAAAGTTTTATAGTAGTCACAAAATGAAGTCGTTTTGGAATGTAGGGTTTTCTGAGTTAGCGCATGGGTAAATCACTCTATAAGTCCCTTTATTTGTACATTTTATATTTTAGTCACTAAATGAAATTTGTCTCTCTATGTCTCAAGCCTTTATTTTATTCACACTCACATTTTGGTCACTGTTCTTTTTAGTTTAATGCTTGAATGGTTTCGTGGACTTAATGCATGATTAATCCCTGTTCTCCCTGCCAAGTTTTGATTTAATCCTTTGTTAGGTTTTCAATTTATATGTTTATTCCATGTATTTTTTATTGTTTCATTCCTATCCATACACTTTTAATATACATATATATATTTCATATTTTAAGTGTTATTTCAATGTACTTTGTATATATGATATAGTGGTTTCAATGGTATTATATGTATACATATTCTATTATATTTTATTATACATATATTATTTGTTTAAAATGAGAAATACCATTTTAATTGGTCTCATGTTACATTATTAACCTATGGAACGCCTCCAAAAATCTGAGTGTCTTTCTGATTGTTACTCGAGTAAAAATGTATCCTTTATGTCCTTGTATTTGTTAAAAATAAATTATTTCTAATAAAAATAAATTATATCTATTTTATGGGAAAATTCTCAACGAAAACTCTCCATGAGAAACCCTCCAAAATATCTAGAGTTTGATTCCTCAAGAAGTAAGAGTGAAAGAACAACCAATTATTTTTTACTTAATTAATATAAATATTTTTTGTATTTATATATTTAAAGTCATACATTATATGTGGCATTTAATTCATCATTTTCATGCCATTTATTATCGTTGCATTCATTTTTTTTCAAGATTGAAGATAATTGATAACTCCGTAAAAAGACTATATTTTAGTCTTTTTACTTAAGTTGTTGTTTGTCCAAAAGCCGTTGTCATAGCATTTTAGTTGTATTTAGTTTCATTTAGTACATTTCATGTATTTGGTGGATAAGTTGTCTCGGCTAGTTTTTCTTTAAAACCGATGCTACTGATGAGAAGGGTTGTGTAATGAAACTTATGTAATGAAACTTTTTAATGAGCATATTTTAATTTAATTTTTTAATAAATATTTGTTCATCTCAATTTTTAAAAATTAGATATCAAATATGTTTTCATTATTTTTATTTTTGAATTCAACTTTTTTATTTAAATTAATCAAATATGTTTTCTAATTTTTAAAAAATTAGAAATGAAAAATATTTTCTGAAAATAAAAATAAAAAAAAATATTTTTTAGAACTAAACAAATCTTAATCTCTCATATTATTTCATGTGATTCAAGAAAGTCAATACATCAAAGTATAGTTTTACAGTCATTGCAAATAAGTTACATGTTGTAGAAAATTGTTTGTTCAGCTGGGCTATGTCCTATTCAATTTGGATTGCTGGACCCTTTCGAATTCTGGGCTTGGGATGAATGGGCAAATTTGGCCCAATAAGTGCAAATTTGGCCCAATAAGTCAAATGGATAAAATAATTAGTCCATTAGGTCAACCTGAATTTTAATTTGGGATCTACAATAAATGTTACATTCAATGACGGAGCCATGTAAGGCCCGGAGGGGCCATTCCCCCCCCCCCCAATTATTTTTTACCAATAAAAGTATAGGGAAAACTACCAATTTCTATTATACTTTGTTACATTACATGACAAACTAGTCATGCCTACATGATTTTTTTCAATTAATATTTTTTATTCAAACTCGTCATGTTAAATTTTGATTTTGTCCTCATTTTCTATTATACTTTGCCCCTCTGAACTTAAATCTTGGCTCCATCATTGGTTACAGTGTATGGCAAACTCATCATGTCCACATAAATAGTTTATCCAAATAATATTTTTTATTTAAATTAGTCATGTTGAAATGACGAGTTTTAAAAATATATATATTTTTTATTAGATTTTGCACGTCCGGATAATAAGTTCTAATAAAAAATATATTTTATTGAAACTCATCACGTTGACGTAACGAGTTTAAAGTAACTGTAATAAATATCATAGATCCCAAATTAATTTTAGAAGAGACCTAATGAACTAATTTTTTACCTGCCTGACTTATTGGTCCAAATTTGCCAAATAAAACAGCAAAATATCAGATGGCCCCCCTCATCTTAGAGATTCAGGTTGAGCCTGTCCGCTTATCATTTCCTTCTTCGTATAACAGAAACTTCTGAAAGAATTTCTTGAATTACCTGTTTTCAATTTCTATTTTATTTCTGGACCTGATCTCAACAGACTCATGATGTAATGCTGCTCACAACGTATCTTAACTCACCTTCGCGTTATTAAACAAATCTCCATCTTTTTAATAATTTTTTCCCGATAACATAAACATCTTAAGGTCTGGGATCAATGCTCATCCTCCAAAACCTAGGAATAAAGGTATTTTCTTTTATTGCTGTATTTTTTTATCATTCGATTCTCCTTCTTATAATGTATGCTTTGATGGTGGGATCTTGTTTGATTTCTTGTTTCTTCGATCTTCTACGTACAATCTTCCTTTTATGGCTTAAAATCTATTCCCCTGTTTCTTTTTTTTTTCAATGCAAAATGAATATGTAATTGTCTAGCTGAGCATGTATTTGAATTTAACTGAATTTCATGTGTGGGAATTGGCCGGAAAAGATTATCTTTGTGCTGCCAATCTTGTATCAGAAGAAAAAGATTTAGAGGGTGTATAAGTATTCTCTTTGCAGGTTTCGGGTCAATTTCGATTTATGACAAGTATTTGTTAAATTTTTTATTGGGGGTCCTTCATATATCCTCTGGTACATACTGTCAGCGTTCACAAATTCGTTTTCGAAGGCAGAGTAAAAATTCCGGGAATGCTGGAAGATGTGCCTCGTTCGAAATTCCAACTTTGAAGTTGATGAGCTTAGGGTGTTTCAGAGTCCTGACCATTTTCATCTTTGATGGTATCGGATTTGGAGTTATTGGTGGATCATCATCATTAACTCTTCATGCTCAGAAACATGATAGGCATGTAAGTATTAAGAGAGCACCTTTTCTGGTTTTACACCAACTTTCTGGAGACGGTTGAGCTCGTTATATTACTGATACTACCTTCTGTGTAAATTACATAAATTGGGATTAGTTGATATTTCTACATAGTCGGCTAGTCTGAAATGGAAAATAAACCTAGTGTGTTGACCCGAAGATACGAAATCGGGCGGGTACTTGGCCAAGGTACCTTCGCAAAGGTGTATTATGGGAGGAGTATACAAACCAGCCATAGTGTGGCCGTAAAACTGATAGACAAAGAAAAGGTCACTAAGGTCGGGACGATTAATCAGATCAAGCGAGAGATTTCGGTGATGAGAATCGCTAGACACCCTAATATTGTGCAGCTTTATGAGGTGATGGCCACCAAAACCAAGATTTTCTTCGTTATGGAATACTGCAAAGGTGGGGAGCTCTTTAACAAAGTTGCTAATGGAAGACTAAAGTTTGATTTTGCACGGAAGTATTTTATTCAGCTGATCAATGCAGTTGATTTCTGCCATAGCAGGGGTGTTTATCACCGCGATATAAAGCCTGAGAACCTATTGTTGGATGAGAATGAGAACCTAAAGGTCACCGACTTTGGGTTAAGTGCACTAGCGGAATCAAAGCGCCAAGATGGCCTGCTTCATACTACTTGTGGTACTCCTGCCTATGTTGCTCCTGAAGTGATCAACAGAAAAGGTTATGATGGAGTAGCAGCTGATATTTGGTCTTGTGGAGTGGTGTTATATGTCTTATTGGCAGGTTATCTCCCATTTCATGATTCAAACTTGATGGAGATGTACAGGAAAATCGGCAAAGCAGAGTTCAGATTCCCTAGTTGGTTCCCTCCGGAAGTACGCAGGCTGGTGTCTAAGATGTTGGATCCAGACCCAACGACTAGGATTTCAATGTCTAAGATTAGGGTAAGTGGTTGGTTTAAGAAAGGACTGTATGCCGAACAGAAAAAGCCCGAAATGGAAAACGAGCAAGCTTCACAGGATGGTGGGAATAGCAATGAGATTGCCGAGACTAAACAAGAATCAATTCAGCTTCCGAACCTAAATGCTTTTGATATTATTTCACTTTCAACTGGGTTTGATCTGTCAGGATTGTTTGAGGGGATTTCTGAAAAGAGAGAAACAAGATTTTCGTCTAGACAGCCTGTCTCAGCCATCATGTCTAAGCTAGAAGAAGCTGCCAGGATTTTGAGACTAAAGGTGAAAAAGAACGATGCTGGTGTGTGGAAAATGGAAAGGCTGAAGGAGGGTAGAAAAGGGGTCTTGTCGATCGATGCGGAGATCTTTCAAGTGACTCCGATGTTTCATCTGGTGGAGATTAAGAAATCCAATGGAGACACTTTCGAATATCAGAAGATAGTGAAAGAGGATATGAGGCCTGCTCTGAAAGATATTGTGTGGGTTTGGGAGGGTGATCGACAACATCAGTCGCCGCAACATGAGGAACGGCAGGATCAGCCTCAAGAACAGAATGATTCTAGCTCTTCCTCCAGCAGCAGCTATGACAAACCTTCTTAAACTGCTAATTTCTTGAGATATCTCACGTTCGTACACTGTCATACTATGTCACCTTTTTGTTTTGCTCTTCCTATGATTGTACTAATCCTGTTTCAGTAAAATTACTGTCCTTTCGACGAACTTAACTCGTGGCTGACTATAAATTTGACATCCTCGTACTTGATTTTGAGTGTGTTCATATTCTTGTATGCGATTGAGATTACAGAGTCAATCCACCAAGGAAAGCGAAAGCGATCTTATATGTTGTTCGAAAATCAGCTGCAGGCGGCTCTAGATTACTCGCTCCTAAAAAAATAAAAATAAGGTCATAAAATTGCTATCTGAAAGAGAACTTGTTAGAAACACAAGCCCAACCATAAGACTAACAACCATTAAATCACGTGTGGAGCCTGTTCTATTTCCATTTGTACGAAGAAAATGACCGAGCAAGCGCGTCTTCGCTGCTTATCCTTCCCTTGTCAAATCTTTCAGAGTTTCGTGCTTTCCAAAATATTGTGATCCAATTATTGTCAATTCCACCGCGGACTCAATTTATTAATATGACAGTCAGATTTACTCATTTTATCGACCTACAAATAACTTTAACCCTAAACTTATGCGAACATTAAAGATACGTAAATTGTCGCGCAAAATAGAAGGAATATCTCTCTTTGTATATTTGTATACACATAATGAATCTTCTTCGGTTCATCAAAACCATCAACTGTAATTTTCTATTCAAACTAAAAAGATAATTCATTTACTGACTTGACAATCTCATTTTTGTTGATGATCATTCATAAGGTTTGAGATATTTGGTTTAATTAATGCGGCATTATTATATTAAAAACCCCACATTAATTACTTTTTTTTAGAATTAACCCCATGTTTCGTTAGAAAAATAACTACTAAACTATCTGTCGTAACCGGTTTTCGTCCGGGCACGAAATTTTAAATTTGGTGGGAAAATTGATGTGAATAAATGGTTTTGAAAATAATTTGGGAGTCGCCATCGGCCTTTTGGGTCAGGTAGGTCGAATACCTAAAAATTATTTTTTAAAAGAGTTTTAAGAAAACACCAATAAAAAAAATGAACTGATCTGCGTTTATAACCAAAAATCCGTTCTTTTTAATAATAAAAAGGGATTCGTGGTCGATTACGTTTAGGGAAGGATTAGCACCCCTACAACGCCCAAAATTGGTACTTTTTAATTATCAATTGTCTCTATTATTAAAAATTCAAAATATATTTAATTTATAATCCTATTATTTCAAATTATATAAAAAATATTTAAAAATATCGGAAAAGGACTTCTAGGTGCCTTAAGACAGCTCTTTTCTTTGATATTGATAAATATTAATTTAAATAAAATTAAATAATATTTTTTTATATTTTTTTAATTTTAAAATACCAGAATAGGACATCCAGTTGTATTAAGACTGTCCTTTTCTTCGATATTGAAAAATAAATATTAAAATAATTTAAAAAAAATAAATTATTATTTATTATATATATATTTATGAATACATAATAATAAAAATATTTAAAAATATAAACAAGTAAAATTAAAACAATAAAAATACAACTAGAACGATATATTTAAAAGCAGTAAAATAAATGAAAACATTTAAAATAAATGACTAAATTATAGTAAAAGTAAAATTAAAAACCTAATTCATAATTAATCAAAATTATAGGGATTAAACATGCTATTTCTTTATTTTATTTATTTAATGACTAAAATAAAATTATCTAAAATTCGGATATTAGAATAAAATAAATTAAAACATAAACTAGGGATTAAAATATTAATTATTAAAATTAACGGACTAAATCTGTTATTTACCCTAAATATATTATTTTAATATAAAGGACTAAAATAAATAAAATTAAAATTAAAGATCTGAATTAAAAGGATTATAAATTCAATTTAGTGACTAAAATGTAAAGATTACAAGTTGGACTGACTGCGGACGGGGTTTACCCTTTATAAAATTACAGAAATACCCTCCCCAAAACGACGTCGTTTGGGAGAGGGTATTAATATTTGAAACCGGCTGGCCCTACGGGCCAGCTTCTCATTTCTTTCTTTTTGTTCTCTCTCTAACAGAGAGAGAACAAATTTCTCTCTGTCTCCTCTCTAGCTTCCCTCATCGGAGGGAAGCCGGTCACCGGACGGCAACTGTGTGCCGCCGTGACCGTCACTGCCGGCCACCGCATCCGGTGGCCGGAAAATTTTATTTTTACACCATTAAATAGATCGGACCGTCCTAAGGGCGGTCCCAGTGTTCTTTTCTTCTAAATGGCTCCTGATCGGAGCGAATCTAAAGAAGTACCTTCGGTTTCCGAAGGTTTTGGTGACGTCGGTGGTCGGGGCTTCCTCGGTAAGTTTCCCTTCTTTCTTTTTCTTTTCTTTCTTTTCTGTTTCTTTGCTGCGTTGTTGTTGAGATCGTTGGTAGTTTTTTAGTATCTTGTTTCTTTGTATCTCTCTCGGTCTCCTGTGTGTTCTCCGTCTCTCTCTGTTGTTCTCTTCTTTTGCTCGCAGATGGGGTGATGGCTTTATAGCCATCACCGTTGTGGCCATCGGACCGGTCCGAAGAGCAGATTTCGGTGAGTCACCGAACTATGTGGTGACTCACGGCTAGAGTAGCAACGTGGGTGACCATCTGGGTCTTCTGGAGGCTTCGATGGAGGCGTGGCACTGGCAGCAGAGGCGGCTGGAAGCTGGACCGTTGGCTGAGGCGGCTGGAGGCAGAGGCGGCAGGAAGCTAGGGTTAGAAACCCTAGCTGAAACCCTAAATGTTTAGGGTTTCAGTTTGGTTTGGGCCGGAAAGTTGGGCTTGTATTATTATTATTATTATTATTATTTTATTTATATATATATTTAATATATTTAATAATAATAATAATAATAATAATATTTATAATAATTATAATAATAATAATAATAATAATTATTATAATAATAATAATAATAAATAAATCAATATGGGTAAAAAATTAGTATCTTCAGCTGCCCCTCTTTGCTCATTCTTGTGTTAACAGGAATAGGGCAAAGATGAAAAGATAATAAATTTTTTTTATCCATTTGGCTTCACTTGATTATGTATGGAAATGTTGAATGACTTCTTCTCTTTCTTTCAGATGAGTTCTTCTCATTATGAACTTTCCGTTGGGGATGATGTTGACCTCTTTCTTTCTGTGATAGAGTCATTCAAAAGGTTAAATAAGCTCTTCTCATTATGAACTTTTTCTGGAAAGGCTGATACTAATCTATTTCCTTCCGTGATAGAATTATGCAAAAAGTTGAACAAGCTCTTCTTATTATGAACTTCTTCTTCTTCAGATGACGAGTTCTTCTCATTATGAACTCTACCTGGCAATGTTGATCCATCAAATGATGAATTCAAACAAAAAGTTGATCAAGTTCTTCTCATTATGAACTTCTTCTTCCTTCTTCAGATGATGAGTTCTTCTCATTATGAACTCTACCTGGCAATGTTGATCCATCAAATGATGAATTCAAACAAAAATTTGAACAAGTTCTTCTCATTATGAACTTCTTCTTCCTTCTTTAGATGACGAGTTCTTCTCATTATGAACTCGAACTGGAAAAGATAATCCATCAAGTGATAGATTTGAGCAAAAGGTTGAACAAATTCCTCTCATTATGAACTTCTTCATCCTTCTTCAGATGAGTTCTTCTCATTATGAACTCGAACTGGAAAAGCTAATCCATCAAATGATGGATTTGAGCGAAAGGTTGAACAAATTCTTCTCATTATGAATTTCTTCTTCCTTCTTCAGATGAGTTCTTCTCATTATGAACTCGAACTGGAAAAGTTGATCCATTGAATGATGGATTTAAATCTTTGCTAAAATCTTTGAAATTCCTGTTAAAAATTCAGTATGGATGAATGAAAATGCACCTATTTTTGCAAACACCTAAATATGATGCATGAATGTTAAGTTTATTTGATTTCAGATGGGTGAATTGAGTATTTCTTCAATTGTAAAAACCCAATAAATCTTTCTTCTTCAAATCAGAGAATCTATCCTCTTTGACAAATGTAGAGGTAGATATAATGTCACAAAACCTCTTGAGAATAAAACTCAATGGTATAGGCTCTTGAAAAGCTTGCCTTCATGTGACATGTTGATTCTGAATACAACTCATCTGATTATGAAATGTCCTTTCAAGATGATTTCACAGATATCGATAGTTCTTTTAATACCAAGAAATCTTGAATTCTAATTCTGATGAGGAGAAATAAACTGTTATACTTGACAAAAATGGGATTCTCAGAGGCTGAAGCTTCAAATAGCCATGGAGAAATGTGGTCTAGATTCATCAATTGCAGAATTGACAAATATTATATGTGCTGCTCGAATGGCTAAGGCTGCTGACGCATTTCTTCCAGTAAAAGATGGGAAGCCATTATGCAATGAACCCAATTACAAGAAAAGGCGAAACTTGGGCTATGATTTTTGGGAAAGGAATAAGCAAAAGAAGCTTGAAAAGAAACTTCTTAATGAAGATGATCATGCAATTCATCTTTTAATTCCAATGATTGGTTCTGAGTTTTATATCAAATCAGATTAGATAACTCAAAGAACACTTCCAGAAGATGCTATTGGGTCTCCTTATTTCTACTATGATCAAATTCATTTTTTAAATCCAATGATTAATTTTGGGGTTCATACCAAACCAGATCAGATAACTCAAAGAACACTTCCAGAAGATGCTATGAGCAAATTCATCTTCCAAATTCAATAACTGGTTTTACCAAACCATATCAGATAACTCAAAGAACACTTCCAGAAGATGCTATGAGCACATTCATCTTTCAAATTCAATAACTGGTTTTACCAAACCAGATCAGATAACTCAAAGAACACTTCCAGAAGATGCTATGAGCACATTCATCTTTCAAATTCAATGATTGGTTTTACCAAACCAGATCAGATAACTCAAAGAACACTTCCAGAAGATGCTATGAGCACATTCATCTTTCAATTTCAATGATTGGTTCTGCCAAACCAGATCAGATAACTCAAAGAACACTTCCAGAAGATGCTATGAGCACATTCATTTGTTCCAGTTAATGTTTGGACTGGGATATCACAGTACT